CTTCGAAAATTTATGTAAAACTTTTTGTTAATATTCCTGTATATGGATTCATGTATCGACAATGTTTTTGGGCCCACTACAATTTTTATTTTTCCTTTGCTCTTAATGATGATACACTATGAGCTGTATGATTGCACCAAGATGCCATATGGAGATAGGGGCTCATTCGATTAATTAGTGATCCCTGGCCCTACCTAACAAGGAGAACAAAAATATTTCACAAAAATAAAAGTTTTGCATTTTTCTAAAAAAAATTGTGGGTTTACCACGGTTTCTAGGCTATTTTGCAAATTAAAAAAAAAATTCGTCGTATAATCTATTTGCTTTCACCTTCACCGCACCGTAAGGTTTTGAAAAATAATATTCAGAGTACAGAAAACCTAGTGCAGTCTAAAGGAACAAATACTAACGAAACACACCCATAGGTGGTCCTACACTGGTGATAATCTGTCAGATATGCCGAGAATTCCTCGTGAGCCACCAAAGGAGCAATCCAAACTAGAACCTGGAGGGGCGCAAAACAAAAAGTGTGAGTGGGCAAAAACAAAGCTTTTCAAAATCATTTCATTATCAAAGTTCTAACCCCTCGCCGTAAAACCTGTATAGTTTCTCAGAAAAATAGAATATACTCATATATAGAAAATATGCCATGTCGAATGCCTCCACATAAAAGGTAAGTAACTCAGGTAATGTCAATCAATGCAATGTAATATGTCAACCAAAGTCACCTAACGTGACCTGTACGGCTGAATCTAGAGCTCAAATCTCCATCTCACTAACTATACCTGCACACGAGTCGGAACCACCTATAGTGGTCTGTACAACAGGACTTGGTGTAAATAAGTACACTCAAGTGCTACGATCACGTGAAGACTGGGCGAATAATCGTGGGTCACCTACGAGTCGCAACCACCTATAGTGGTATATACGACAGAACTGTGCACCTAACTTGGATCCAAGATGAGCGTGTGGTGCGGGAGGTGAACATCACGTGAAGGACTGTACCCTACTCTGGGCGGGAGCACTAACACCAGGGGTGCAGGTTATGAGCTCTCTACGCATCTCACATCACTACTAATCACAAATATAAACCATAACTTACCTGGCACTTACTTGCGCATCCGCAGCACCAAACATACATATATGCAACTACTAATGCATAATTAAATAGGCAAACGCAATGCATGGCATTTAAAACATATAAACGTTTCATTTCATTTTCTGGGAAAATCACAAGTATATAGGTATATACGAAAAACCAAAAGCCCACTCACTAGTATGTGGAAGGGTCGTAACCCCCTTGCCTCGAGTAACTGCGCTCGTCCTCAGGATAGGTCTCACCTATATGCAAAACAACTATAAAAACGTCAATTTAAAACACATAACCAAAACTAGGTAATAACTTCTCAAACAATGCTCAAATGGGGTGTATGAATACACCAACGTGATCTACTCAACCTCACGAACATCCTCATATTTTTAAAATAATTTTTTGACGTCACACGCACCCCCACGCACCGGCCAAGGCACGGCCACATGCATCGCCCACGCGCAGGCGCGTGCCTAGCACACTGACGGCCTCAGTTAACGCCATCAGGAATATTCCATTAAAACTAACAGATTCCGTTAAAGTTAGCCTAACGCCGTTAGGAATATTCCGTCCAAACTGACGGAATATTCCGTCGTCTTCTCCGGCCAACCTCCGGCGCTGTCGCCGTCGCCGTCGTCGGAAAACTGGAAAATTTTCTAATCTTTGTTTCTCACTCGTTTTTCAACCAAATTTCATGAAATTGGTACCAAAATGAAGCTTACAACAATTAGAACAAAACCTTACCACTTTCAAGCCCGGAAACCAACAGAATCTCGCCGGAGAAACTTCACAAAATCCGGCCAAACCTGCAACTCGCAATTCCGACGTCCAAAACCTTCAAATGAACCACCCCGAGCTTCCTAAGAACCTTACCAAGCTTCCTATAACCCTGAAACTCCCAAAAACACACGATTTTACATGTGCATAAACAGTACCCTGAATTGAACATCTCAGGTTCGACGTGAAAACAAAGGTTTCTTACCTGAAATTGGTATGGTTGAACTCGTATGAACCTCACGAACACAAAGGTATAGGTTTTCTACTTCGATCTGTAACGTTTTAGAGTGTTTTGATCCTTGTCCGTATGTAAGTGTAGAAGAAGAGGGAGAGAGAAAGAGAGACTCGGGACAGGGCAGAAGATGAGAATGAGAGTGTGGGTGCGTGTGTGGTCCAGATACAGCCAACCAAATCCCCAAAACAACCACACAACGAAACAAAATCACTAGGGGCAAAATCGTCAATTTACACCTACGGTACGAATAATCTGAGACGAGCTTATCACATATTTGCTTTCACCTTTCGCACCGTGTGATTTTAAAAATTCATGTAAGACTTTTTGTTAGTATAGTTGTAGCTAGAGTCCCATTTAGGCAACGTTTTGGGTGATAGTACAACTTTTTGTCCATTTATTTTTTAGTTTTTAGCTTAAATATTCCATTGAAACTGCTTCAATTGCCTTATAAAGTTACTCTTAATCATGACGGAAAATATTTCTCAGAAATAAAAATTTTCATTTTCTCAAAAGGAAAAAAACGTGGGCTAACCATCACAGTTTCTAGGCTATTTTGCAAATTTGTACAAAAATCGTCGTAAAATCTATTTGTTTTCTCCTTCACGACATTGTTAGATCTTGAAAATTCATGTAAGTTTTTTTGGTTAATATTCTTGTACATGAAGTCCATTTTCTAGAATGTTTTGAGCCGTAGTACAATTTTTGTTCAACTATTTTCAAGTTTTCGGTTTAAATATTCTATTAAAAATACATCTATGGCTCAATAAACGGTAAAATAGCTTTCAATTGCCTTATAGTGTTACTCATAATCATGACTGAAAAATATTTAGCAAAATAAAAGTTATCCATTTTTCTTTTAAAAAAACATGAGCTAACCATCACGGTCTCTAGGTTATTTTGCAAAATTGTACAAAAATTGTCATAAAATCTATTTGCTTTCACCTTCACCGCACCATAGGGTTTTGAAAATTCATGTAAGACATTTTGTTAATATTCTTGACGGCATATATTTTGCAAAAAATTTAAAAAAAAATTGCATTTTTCTCAAAAAAAAAAAAAAAAAAAGGTGGGCTAACACGGTTTGTAGGCCATTTTGTAAATTTGTGTCAAACTTCTTGTTGATACTTATAGATGAACTTTCGTTTTAGCAATGTTTTGGGCCTCATTACCATTTTTGTCCATATAGTTTTAAGCTTTCTGTTTAAATATTATATTAAGAATACATTTGTGGCTCGATAAATGGTAAAATCACTTTAAGTTAACTTATAAAGTTACTCTTAATCATGACGGAAACTGTTTCAAAAAAAATTAAAAGTTTCCATTTTGCTCAAAAGAGAACATTGGCTAACCTCACTGTTTCTAGGTTATTTTGCAAATTTATACAAAAATCATCATAAAATCTATTTGCTTTCTCCTTCACAGCAAGATTTTGAAAATTCATGTAAGACTTTCTTTTAACATTGTTGTAGATGGAGTCTTGTTTCGGCAATATTTTGGGCGCTAATACAATTTTTGTCCATTTATTTTTTAATTTTTGGCTTAAATACTTTATTAAAATACATTTGTGACTCAGTAAACGTTAAAACCGCTTTCAATTGCCTTATAAAGTTATTCTCAATCATGACTGAAAATATTTGGAAAAACAAAAAATACATGCACTAACTATCACGGATTCTAGGCTATTTGGCAAATTTGTGAGAAATCGTTGTCAAATTTATTTTCTTGGACCTTCACCACACTGTGTGGTATTTGAAAATTCATGTAAAACTTCTTATTGATATTCTTGTAAATGGAGTCCTGTTTCAGCAATGTTTTAGGTCATAGTTCTACATTAGCTCCAAATACTCTATAGCTTTTCTTAAATTCTCTTTTCAAGTCCTTAATTTTTTACAATTACCATCACATACTTTAAAAAGGTTAGCATGCGGAAGAGACTTTAAAAAGCTATACACCACCGGTCCATCACATGTCTTTTCTTAAAGATTTGGAAAGACACTTTAAAAAGAGATATGCCTTACATGGAACTAATGAAAGAAATTGTGCAAAACCGATTACAGTGAAATTTTAAAATTCATATAAACAACCTTATTTAGTGAAATAAAACTTAATTATTGTTGCAAATATATTTAAATCCTACTAGTCATGGAAGTGCGTGGTTGGCCATAGGTGTATTTTCTCAACGAAACTTCCATAAGTGTACTTTTTATGGGCCCCACTACTAAGTATTAGACATTTTTTCTTTTTAGGAAACTACTAAGTTTTAGACTTTAGGACGGAAGTGATGACTGCGTAATGCATGAGCAGTGACCAACAATATCAAACGTATTTTATCCTCCTCATGCGGTTGGAGGAGCTTTGCACTTGCTTGTCAAACTCAAAAACAAAGTGTTAAAACTATAAAATTAGTTTCACAACCGATTTATTTATTCATTAAATAGGACTATTGTAATATTAGGCTAATTTTCCCAGTTATTAATTTATTATATCGAAGCTGATGTTGTTTAGAAAAATAACATATTTTGAGTCCAAGGCAAGGAGCCATATGGATGGTAATGATTTAGTGAAAAATCTCTAATCTTAAACTAATCTTTATGAACTTAAACAATGTCATCCTGTGAATATTTCTAAGTCTTTTGTTTAATGATACTTAATTTTAAAATAATGGGATCCTTAAGGGGCATCTTTAATCCACTATAACACATCATAAAGAATTCATTAAAACAAGGTACAAGGTCATCTTGGTAAACCATAAACTTATATTGGCAAACAATATATAAATTTCAATAGCAAGATATTGATTTTGTTAAATACATATATCCACATGAATTATATATGGACATCAAATGATAATTGAATTACATATATGTAATATTATACAGACTCTAAATTCCGAAGGCATGATAAATTATCTCTCTTTCAATAATGAACTTTTGTTCACATGGCACACACCAAAAACCAAAGATTGAACCTAAAGCTAAAACCCATCAATATCAATGGAAACTAAACAATTCCTTACACCAATATGTGCTCCTCTAAACACCTACATATATACTTTCACACTAGACAAATCCCTCTTTTAATTAATTAGGAAAACATTATGGTTGGTTTAATCAAATATAAAATGGCATATATCCCACAACCTAATTAATTCATACACACATAACTAATCCCATATCTCCATTATAGCTTGCACTTTTCCTGCTACCTTTCCATGTCTATGGGCGCAAAGGCTGTTTTTCCCATATGATTAACAAAACTCTTTGAGTCTCCAAGCTTACTTATCTTTTGAGATTCAACATCAAGATCCGTATCCTCTTCATCTTCTTCGCGTAGCCTTGTCAATGCAAAATACTCAACCTTTTCGCCGTAAACCTTGACCAAAACCAAATAGAAGGACACCCCAAAAATGGCTATTCCCACCAAGAACCAACTAAATTGAAGATTCACCAAGGACTTGGCTCTGTGAAGTGCCTCATCTCCATGGCACCTAACCACTTCGTGACCCTCCTCTAAGTTCATGAAACAACCTTTTGGCATCAAGTCAGGTGTCCAGAGCATGAACCCCATGACCATAAGCCAAACCCTTGGAAAAATATGCTAAGTGACCTCACAAAGCTGACCAAAAAACTCTTGGAGAAACCAATTCCCAATAGGGTTGTGGTCAAAGAAACAAGAACGACAAGCTGCAGAAGCATGTGGTATTGGCCTTCAGGTCCCATGTGATCAGCAGAGTGAAGGTGAAAGAGAAGAAGCTGCTGCCCGAAGGCTATGGCTCCAAGGAGTTGGGTCAAACCATGTTGTGCTTTTGGGGCAATTTTGTCGAGGACGATGGCAAAAGCTGCATAGACCAAGAAAGCCAGGGATATTGAAGAGTGCTCAAAGTTGTGGAGATGGTTGGTGGGGATGGTTCCATCGTCATCGAACGGTTGGTGTTTCTCTGGGCCTATGAAGAGTTCCATGGCAATGGAGGCAGATGAGCCTCCCATGATTAAGAAGAGCTCCAAATACTTGAATTTGGAGGTGGGAAACCAGGCTGGAGCTATGTAGGAGTTTGGTTGGTTAAGATGGAGTTTGATGTGATTAAAGAGGTGCCATAGGCCAATCAGAAGAAACCCAAAGCCTGGTGCTACATGCCCAACTAAAGTACCCATTTCCGATTGCTTGATTTATAGTGGGGGCAGAGAGAGTGAGAGAAAGAGAGAGGGGTTGTTTAGTTGTTGTTGGTGGTGGTTGTTTAAGCCTAAAGGGAAAGAAAGGGTGAGAGTGATGGAGAAGGGTGGCTAATGGGAGAGGCATTTTAAAGTATTGAGGGAGGGGAACGGGGTTGAAATTCTAAGGTCTAGAGGCTTCCAAGCCTAGGAGGTTAAGAATTTTTATTTGAAGTGCCTGTTTGGTGGCTTGACTAGCAAGATTAACATTGGTTGACAATTGACCATAATTAAGGCTCCAAGCAATGACATCAGGAGCAAGGTAAAGGCTGCCAGCCTTCTAGAATGATAGGAGCACAACTTTTGGGTTTTCACTTTGTCCACATTTGAAATGACAAAATCACCTCTGTTTTAATTTGTAAAAGACTGGTTTATTAGTCTCTAAATTTTTATACTCTTTTAGCTTGTCAACGATGTCATTGGCAGGATAAGGAAGTAAAGAATAGTTTAAATATCTTAATCCCACTTTAATTAATATTAAGATCTTTTGTGCTGAAATCTCATACCTGGAAGACTGTGCAGGTAATGATTAACAAATTTGGGATAATATCAGTGTTGTTGGAAGTAGACCGTTGGCCCAGCTTTCTAAAAGCTGATGACAATATCAGTGTTGTTAATAAACCCTTGACCCATCTCTGATAGTTTAACGGTTTGATTCACCTAATAAGGAAAAGAAAAAGTCAATGAAAGGTCTTCTCTAACATACGAATTCATTATATCTTATAGTACAACGTAACTGTATATAATACATTACATCAAGGGCATTGTAGTCATTACAAGTGCGACAAGTTATATGTTAATGTTTGTTTGGCACTTTTGTTATCCAAAAGAAAAGAACAGATAATTGGAAAGTCAGGTCTTTGTTTCGTAGGATTTTGGGTTCACATGTTTTTGGTCATTTTCTTCTTCTTGCACGAAAGTTCGAAACTACGAAATTTCTTCATGACCTATTCACGATTTTGGTACGTACATGTCTGCAGAAAATTTGAGGTAGAGTAGGGAAAAAAACCCTCGCAGATTATCCACCTACTTAAGCAAACTTTTTAATATAAACGATATGTTACATGCATTTACAAATTCTACACTAAAAAGATAAGTGAGGGTTTAAATTCGAACACAGTGAGTTGAACCATCATGTCGCAATCTCGATCTTTTAAAAAAATAACGAGGAAGTCATTGACAAATTAATCTATACACACACACACACATACACACATTATCAATCAAATCTTCCAATATATTTTTCCACGAAACGAAAAAGAATTAAAAAAATGTGTCATCGCATGTGTCATTTCTGCAACATATGTAAATTGGTGATCTCTCTATTATCCTTACTAAAAGTTTATGCACCTTGCGTGTGCGGTGCCACTACCATGATTTGTTGTCCATGTCCCTTCTATTTTGTCCCAAATAATCGTGATTTCTTAATTCTTATCCTTATATGAAGTTGGCAGATGAGGGTGTTCGACTTATTGTGTCTCGTCAAAGATAATCCCCAACACCTCTAAACCATCTGTATTTTTAAGAAAATATAATACGCGGTTGTTGATTTTGATTGTGAATAAGGCAAATTTTGTGTGTATTATGAAGGCTTTATTTAGTAACAAAAATAGATACTCCATGATAATTTGAGTGGATTAATAGTTTTTTTTTTTTTTTTTGGTCAAAAGTGGATTAATAGTTCACAACCTTGTTCTGGATATATTAATCAAGCAGGAAAGTTCCTAATTATTGGTTTATTTGATCTAGTAGAATGATAGAAATAAAGACTGCACTGGCGGCCATAAGCTGTACGGTCCAAACCTGATATAAGCTTCAATGGCTGCTACATTGGGATTCTTGGGAGTCAAGTTTTCTAATTACACACGTAGCTCACCCAGCTTGACATTTTAATTATTATTTTTTTTTTAAGAAAAGACAATATTATATAATTAGATAAAATAAAAGTTTTAGCACAAATACAGAATGTTAAAACTTAACCCATTTTATGATACGATAAAAGAAAAAATAAAAAGATACGATAAAGAATTAAGCGAGATAAATTACTAAGACTTTACCATGACCTTATCTAAATTAATTAGTGAAACATATGATGGCCGCCTCATTCGACATATGCTGTTTGAGTCATGTGAACAGCATCAACTGCTTCTCTAACAAAACTGATGGCAAATGGCTAATGAAAAAGACATATATGCAATTAAGGGTGTAGCTAATTAGACACTAGGGCTTTTTAAAAGTGTAGGACTGAAAGGGACAAGGTGAGAAGAAACAAAGATGAGAAGCACGATCGATGTTAAGAAACATATATAAAATGAACATCCTTCAAATATGCTTTTCTTTTTCCCTTTTTCCAGATGAACACTTAGGCCTGATTTGGTACTGAGGTGATTCTGAAAAAAGCTGATATCAAAAAAAGTTGCAAGCTGTTTTTGTGTTTGGTAAACATTCAGCTTCCGCTTTTTTTCACAGTTTTGGGTGGAAAAAAGCCAAAAACAAGAAGCTGCAAAACCCAGCTTTGAAAAACTGGTTTTTTTTCACATCTATTTTACATAAAAGTTTACCAAATACTATAATACTGTTTTTTTTTTTCAAAAGCACTTTTACAAAAAAGTTTACCAAACACTCTGCTGCTTTATTTCACAGCTGCTTATTCTCACAGCATAGCAGAATCAGTTTTTTTTCAAAGCACAGCAATACCAAATCAGCCCTTAAAATCCTCAGCTTATTTAGCAGCATTCTTGCAAGTTATATTTGAAATGTTAAAAATGATTTCCATAGGCCTTGTAGATTTGAGGCATATATATTCTAATTTGGTTCCAACTCATGCGAATAATCATGAACATCTTCTAAACACATTTCATTGTAATAATGTCATCAATCATTTTGATTTGTGTGGACCCTAGCAATAATGATTACAAAGTCTGAAACACACGCGATATAGACAATTGATAATTCTTCGTATGTTCATGTGTGTTCTTTTTGTTCTGTTTATGGATTTAAACCTCATAATGAGTTAAAATCATATATTATGTCCCCATTGTTTCTGTACAAGGATTTTTGCATATATGTATGTATGTACGTATATTGATATAATAGAAACTTCTGATAAAATACTCACTTATAATTGAACAGATAAAGTACGTTACATGGTCTATTTTAGGGATTGTCGCTTACCTATTCAATAACTTTAGCACTAGATAAAGTACGTTACATAGTCTATTTTAGGAATTATCGCTTACCTATTCAATAACTTTAGCACTAGACATTCCAAAAAAGGATAGTGTACTATTAAATCGGGTAAATTGAATTCAATAACAAATGCATATTGGTATTCCAGCCTTCCTTCTCCCCATTTCTGTTTGTAGGGCCCGCACTGTATGCATTTGGATCACCAATGACGTTGGGCCAACCTCAACCCTAAATCCTCAAAGATAAATGCATGCATTTTATAATGAAATGAGCATCACATTTTTAATAATTTGTCAAACTTTCCCATCCAATATCAATACACATATGCTTTGACTTTGTGGCACTAAAATAATCCATATAAGCTACAATAAACTATCTTAAGAGCTTAATTACTAATATATTTTAAAATTTTATAAGCAAAAGTTCTATAAAATTCCTCTAGTTTTTGGGCCATTACTAATATATTCTAAAAAATTCTCATCATGTGTTCAAAAAGTTACAATTCCTAGAAAAGTTCACTATACCTCACAAGATTAAACTGTATATTCCACTATTAAATTATTTGATAGACAACGAAATTAAAATAATTATCAAATGAACCCTAAAAGAGCAAGTCTTGGCATAGCAAAAATATTGCTCTTTTGTGATCAAAATATCACGGTTCGAGTCATGGAAACAACTTCTTTACAAGGCAAGAGTAAGGATGCGTACGATAGACGTTCCCCCTCCCCCGACCTTCGAAAATTGAGCAATCTTATTAGCTTGGGGCCACAGTTGCCTTTTTTTAATCAAATGAACCTTAAAATTTAGCAAAGCCTTCAAATTATTTAGCCAAATGGGTGCTTTAATTTTAATAATTATAAGGCTTATTTTTAGCGACGCCCCCTAGAACTTCATTTTGATCTCACTTTACCCCTGTAATTCAAAAGTCACCACTTTACTCCTTGAAACTCAAAATTCGTTCCATTTTGACTTGTGGACTCTCTCTTCTCCTTGAAACTTATAGGTTGCCTCCTAAAACATATGTGGGATCCAACACCCAATAAGACTATGCCTCATGTGCAAAAAAAAAAATTGATTATAAATCTCCATTCTGCATTAACATTCAACAATCTAAGAATATTAAGTTTAAAAGAAATTGAAGACGTAAAAAAAAATTAAAAAAAATTGATTAACCTAGCGCACCCGAATCAAACCCACATAAGAAACTAATAGATCTAAAGGCATGTGGAGTGAATTTTGAGTTGTATAGAGATGACTTTTGAGTTTCAGGGCAAAATAAGATCAAAATCAAGTTTGAATGGGCAAAGTGAAATAACAACTTTTGAGTAAAATAAAACTTTGAGTTTTAGAGAGTAAAATAACAACTTTTGAGTTATAAGAAGTAAAGTGAAATTAAAATCGAATTTCAAATTTACGTAGCTGAAAATAAGCCTAATTATAATTTGGAGGAATTGAAGTGGGCTTTAGTTGCCTGAAATGGATCAGTGCGCACAATTTGGTTATATCTTTAAGCAGGCTTTAGCTCACAGAACCGAAGGGTGCAAGTGGGCTGAAGAGAAAATGCCAATCCTATTTGATATACTTTCGTTGAAGCTCTTAGGAGTTAGGACCATCAACTTCAGCTGCATACATCACTGCACTTCCACTTCACATATCGTAATGATAAACAGTTGTGACCTTCTTTTAAATTCTTAGAACTTCTATCACCACCCCCAAACCCATCGATGTCTTGAATGTGCTACCAAAGGCTTTGTGGAAGTCGAAATATGAGAGCACTCATCTTGGGATGGACTTACTACTTAGATACTTTCAGCAGTTATTCGCTTTACACTTAGTTACCCAACGTTTACCATGTGCAAGATAACTTGTGCACTAGAGATGCGTCCTTTCTGGTCCTCTTTAGGGCCCCAAATGACACTATTATTTCTTATCACATTCACTCAATGTTTAGGTTGAAATCCCAATTTCATTTTCTATTTCTTAAAAACCTTTTGTATTCTTTATGCTAAGAACAAAAGTAACCAAACAAGAGCTTAGGTCCACTAAGTATAGGGTTTTAGGTTCACCAAACCAAATAAGACCATTTTCTAATTGGCAATATTTTAACATGATTTGAATTTTCAATGCTAAATGGTCACTCCCCTTCTTTTTTTCTTAACAAAACCCTACTCTGTTTAGTACTAATGTGTTAGCCAAAACGATGATGAAATCCCAATTTTGGTCGACTTGCTGCAATATCTTCTCAACAAGCAGTGACAAGTTTGCGACCTAAGAGGTGCGATCATGACCAAAATACCTCCCCTCTTAGCTAACCCAAGTCATAGTTCTGTCGCTTCTTTCTTCATTTTCCATCATTTTGGTCCAAGGAAAGAACCCAGGTGTTGTTAGAACAAAGCTTTTGGGGCTGAAAAAAGAAGAAAAACTTAGCCACTTTCGGTTGTATTGGCACGACATTGTTAGCGGTTCAAATCCCTGTTCAGTTGCAGTGGTGAAACCAGTCTCGAATTCATCAACAGGGTTTGGTTTTATAAGCATGATTGATGATCCACTTACTGAAGGGCCTGAAATGAGCTCAAAATTGTTGGGAAGGGCTCAAGGGTTTTATGGATCTGCTTCACAAAAAGAGGCTGGCCTATTGATGGCCATGAATTTTGCTTTCATTCAAGGCAAGTATAATGGTAGCACCATAACTGTGCTAGGAAGGAACCAAGTATTCAACAAGGTGAGGGAGATGCTAGTGATCGGAGGCAGCGGGCTTTTCTGGTTTGCGACGGGTTATGTTGAAGCAAGAACTCACTATTTCAACCTCACTACTGGGGATGCTATAGTTGAGTATAATGTCTATGTGCTGCATTACTTATCATGCTTAGTTTCTGGGCACATTTACTTTTTCCTTTGCTTGTCTAGCTTGCTTTTGTTTTAAGGTCTTGTAACATATATATATATATATATATATGCTGATTTTGGATCATGCTGTCCCTTATAATCTGAGGATGAACATTTTTAATCCAAATTCATACAACTTGAATTAGTATCCAATTTATTATATATGTCCAAGTGTGCAAGAAATCATTTAGACTATGTACCATTTTACTTGTGAATTTGCGATGTCCCTTCCTGTGCAATTATTTGTAGTTTTTTACCTCTCATATTTTACCACAAAAAGCTGTCAAGTGGTTCACTCTTTTGCTATAGTTGCAGCTTTTGAAGAAAATTAAGTCACAATTAAAATAAAAGATCATGCCATATGTGTTGATCACCACCGTTTTTCAAGCCATAATTATGTGGTTATGATTGATTGTGATCGAGTTGCAACAATTAAAGCTATTGAGAGTAGTTGTACCACTGAGATATGTCTTCTTGTATACATCTCTCACTCACACGTGATGCGAGATGTGTATACAATAGAATATATGCCATGTTGTATGAATGATTCTCCAAGCCATGAATGGATTCACTTTCACTCAAAGTTATGTTTGCATACCACCGACATTTTCTTATAAAACTTTTACTGTAGTAAAAAGAAAACAGCACTTTTTCACATAGACAGAGAGATGAAGTAAGGCTTACGGACCACGGTACAGGAGCACGTATATATGATGATGTCTTTTGTAGAGGAAGTAGACTCATAGATGGTGATGCATATGGTATGGATACCCAATTTTCAAGTTTTATTTAATAAATAAAATGCATCATTTCCATGGAAAGACAAAAGGACTTGGGTCCACCAAAAACTAGAGATCAAAAGTAAGAGTTAGGCCACTAAAGCCGGAACAGGATCCCTTATAAGCCCAAAAAATTGAGTTCAATGATCAAATGATTCGGATCATTAAAATTTGATCTAATAGCTACAAACAGAGATCCTTCTAAAAATTATAATAATTGTAGCTGTTGGATCAAATTTCAATGATCTGGATCATTTGATCATTGGGCTTAGTTTCTTTAGGTCCGGAAGGAATCCGGTTCCACCAAAACCTACATGTTAGTCATGAAAAACTATGCTTTCCAAAAAAAAATTATCCAGTAATCCAAAAAAAGAAAAAGGGTTAATTACAAAAAACTACCTCAAGTATGGGTCAAATGACACTTTCATACCTCATCTTTTAAAATTGACAATGTCATACCTCATCTTACGAATTTGTGTCAATGTTATACCTTCCGTTAGTTTGGCCGTTTATTCTCAGTTAAATGCTGACGTGGCTTGATCTGGGACCCATTTTTATTAAAAAATTAATAAAAAAAATTATTAAAAACAAAAAAAATCATTTAATATTATTTAAATATTAAAATAATAAAAAAATTATTTTAAAAAAAAAAAAAAAAAAAAAAACCAACGTCAATCTCCCTTCCCCCCCCTCTCTCCCTTCTCCCCATCTTCATCTTCTTCCCCTTTCTGCAACTACAACCCAGAAAAACAGAAGAGAAAAAAAAAAAAAAAAAAAAAACCAATTTGTTTTCCTTGCTCCTCACCCCCTCTTCTCCCCACACCCACGCACCCAACCTCCCCACCTTCGCACCCCAACCTCGCACCCACTATCTACAACCCCTAAAAAAAAAAATAAAAAAAAAAACCCAGAAAAAAAAACCCATTCTCCTGGGCGAGGAGAAAATGGGCGGCGGGGGTCCGGGGGGGGGGGGGGAGGGGGGGTGGGGGAATGGGTGTGGAGAGGAGAGGGTGGGTGTGAGGGGGGCGAACTGGGTTGCTGCTGTTTGTTTGTTTTTTTTTTTTTTTTTTTTTTTTTTTCTTCTTCTTCTTCTTCTGCACGGGATGAACTGGGGACTTTTTTTTTTTTTTTTTTTTTTTTTTTTTTCTTCTTCTGCACGGGATGAACTGGGGACTTTTTTTTTTTTTTTTCTTCTCTCTTCTTCTTCTTCCCTCTTCTTCTTCTTCTTCTTCTTCTTCTTCTTCTGCAGGGGGACGAACTGGGCTTTTTTTTTTTTTTTTTTTTTTTCTTCTCTCTTCTTCTGCTTTCCTCTTCTTCTTCTTCTTCTTCTTCTTCTTCAGGGGGACGAACTGGGCTTTTTTTTTTTCTTTTTTTTTTTTTTCTTCTCTCTTCTTCTGCTTCCCTCTTCTTCTTCTTCTTCTTCTTCTTCTTCTGCGGGTTAGGTTGGGGGGGGGGGTGGGGTTGGGTGGGAGTGGACGGGTTTGCTGCTGTTTTTTTTTTTTTTTTTTTTTTTTTTTTTTCTCTTCTTCTTCTTCTTCTTTCTCCTTCTTCTTTTCTGGGTTGCTGGGTTGCAGGAAGATGATGGGGAAGAGAGAGGGGGAGATACACGAAAGGAGAGGGAAGATAATGGCTGTTTGTTTTTTATTTTTTTATGTACTTTTTTTTATTATTTTAATATTTAAATAATATTAAATGATTTTTTTTGTTTTTAATAATTTTTTTATTAATTTTTTAATAAAAATGGGTCCCAGATCAAGCCACGTCAGCATTTAACTGAGAAATAAACGGCCAAGCTAACGGAAGGTATAACATTGACACAAATTCGTAAGATGAGGTATGACATTGTCAATTTTAAAAGATGAGGTATGAAAGTGTCATTTGACCCATACTTGAGGTAGTTTTTTGTACTTAACCCAAAGAAAAACTATGCACCATGATTCTGGGAGGGGTAGTGTTGTTCACACTTTTTTTTTTTTTTTACCTTCTAGACATTCTTGTTAATTTTTATTCATTAATATTTTTTAATTCATTCAATCTAGTGATCGGAGTTTGAAAAAAAATACATAAGAAGTAAAAATAAGTGTATAAATAAGACCAACATTCAAGAAGCCATTCAACCCCTTCAATACTTTACCTAAAGATCATTCTTTCTTTTTCTTCAACTTCTTTACCAAACCCTTCTCATAATTACCTCACCACAATTTCCTACAGACACAGCACGCCTCATACCAATTAAGTGTTGAGTTGTTTAGTCATTTTAGAAAAGTAATTAAGACCCAATTGGATTAACTAGTGAAACATTAAGTTTAATTATGCAATGTCACAACCTGACCCAAAAGAAAAGGGACAAAAAAATGTCGGTAGCCTGTGGTTGGTGGTAACCATGATGGAAAAAATACCCAACTTGGTCAAGCTTTATCACTCATTCCACACTATATATGTCAACACAAAGCTTCTCAATTTCTAAACCAAACTAGCGACTTTGTTAGATATAGAGCTTCAACCATGGCCAGAACACCTCAAATCGTGGCTACACAATTCATAATTCTCTCACTTCTATCTTCGTTTGCCCTAATTCTTGTCCAAGGAGATGATCAAGAATTTGTCAGAGCCTTGGACCGCAAGCTTCTGGGTCTCAAGAAAGAGAAGTTCAGCCACTTTAAGATGTACTGGCACGACATTATTGGCGGTCCAAATCCCAGTTCAGTTCGAGTGGTGAACCCACCAACCAATTCATCAACAGCGTTTGGTTTAATTAGCATGATTGATAATCCACTCACTGAAGGGCCTGAATTGACCTCAAAATTACTGGGAAAGTCTCAAGGGTTCTATTCGTCTGCCTCGCAGAAAGAACTTGGCCTGCTGATGGCCATGAATTTTCACTTCATCCAAGGGAAGTACAATGGCAGCACTATAACGATTCTAGGAAGGAACCAGGTTTTCAACAAGGTGAGGGAGATGCCTGTCGTTGGAGGCAGTGGGCTTTTCAGGTTTGCAAGAGGTTATGCTGAAGCAAGAACTCATACATTCACTCCAACCACAGGAGATGCCACTGTGGAGTATAATATCTATGTGCTGCATTATTGATGATATCTTTTTTTTTTTTCTTTGCTACCTTTTTTTCTTTGTTCCTTTTTTTTTCTAATTATGTTGGTCATTTCAGTGCTTAGCTTTTAAGATGACTGGAAGCGTTTTTGGTAAAAATATTTTGTAAACCAATCCTTACCAAGAAAGCAAGTGAATTTTGAAAAAACATGTAAGTGCTTTTGGAACCAATTTTTTTTTCTTAAAAACGCTTTCAGTTATTTTAAAAGTATTTGTGAACAAGTTCTTAGTAGGGTGGTTGAGTTTACTTTATCAAGTATTGGCAAACATGAGTAGGAACTAATTTAGAATTTAGTATTTGTATGCCTGTTTCTGTATGAATCTTTGAGTTTACTTTATCAAGTATTGGCAAACATGAGTAGGAACTAATTTAGAATTTAGTATTTGTATGCTTGTTTATGTATGAGTCTTTCTCCAAGGCTATATGCATTTGGTTGGTGTTCAATAACTCGGCAGAGGACGGATAGATGAAAAATAAATTTTCTTCATTTCAAGCCTGCCAAAATTTTAGGGGTCTCCCCAAGTTTCTTTTTTTGTGGTTCAATGGAGGGGAATAACCTACTTGCAACAATTCTTCTTTCTTATCTCTCTCTCTCTCTCTTTGGATGCCTAAAAATTTGACGAGAGAGATGAACTGATGAGGAGGAGCATACAACCTATTGTATACGGGAGATGATTTTTACACACCTCCTTTAACTTGTTTACACACCCATCTTTGTTTTTTGACATTAAATTAAAAAAATTAATTAACAACGGTCGAGATCAAACACGGGTGAGAGAGTGTTTATCATTTGACAATGTCTACAGCTAGCGGGATACAATTCCTTCTTCCTTTTTTTTTTTTTTTTAATTTTATTTTTGGTACTTCATTTGACACAATAGGTTAACAAATCAAAAGATGAGAAAAGAAGAAACAAACTAATTTCAAATTTTCAAAAAATAATAATAACTTCAAAGTTCAAACTCATAATTTTATTGTCTCGACATAATTCTTATGCAGTTATAAAATGCGTTTCATACATGCCTAATCCTAAAACAAGCAAGAAAACAACCATCTTGAACTTTAATAACAAATTTGAAAGCAATCATAATTTTTTTTTTCTCGACTAAAATCTTCTAAAACATAAAATAGAAAATACTCCAATATAAAAAATAAACCAAATTGCTAACTTTTCCAATACAATTTTCTTTCGTAGTGGGCATTCATATATATGATGTGTGTAAATCAAAATAAAAAGAAAAGAAAACTAATGAAAATGACTTGAAAATTTTGAGTTTTAATAATAATAACAAAATAAAGGGTAAAGTGAATAGTACCATGATTGACGTTTTAATGTAAAAATGTGATTTTTTGTTAAAATAAACAATACCGTGACCTTTTCGTTAAAATTTTCTAAAAAGAAAGGGTTAAGTGAGGTCAACCGACCAACCTTTTTTTTTTTCGGGAATTTATCCCAACCTTTTTCTTTTGGAAAATAATTGATCTCAAACAGATGCAGGTGGCACTCCAGATTATGGGACAATGACTTGCCCACGATTAGTAGGAAAAGTCTAGTAAAAGAGACATGCCAACTTGGCGAGTTATACAACATAATTACGACGATGCATCAAAATATCCTTGTTTAAATGGGTTTTAAGGAAATATTTACCGTTTTTCTATTAGACGATATTTTAATTCAAAAATTTTAATTCATAAATAAGAAATTCAAACTTGAATGCAAATAACGGATCTTTCTTATGCGTATCTTTGTGTTGTCTAACCATTCATTATTCACTTCACTGCACGAAAACAGTTTTATTATAATTTATAACGTAACTAATTCTTTTTTATTATTAATTCCAGTGTGGAATTAATAAATGAAAGTCAAATCATTTGAAAAAAGAGTTTTGCCGAACGGCATTGTTGACCTGACCTTTAGATAAACCTACAAAACCACACGTAAGACTTGTAGGCATAAAGAAGTGCCAAAATCATGACTAGGCTCTCCCCATCTCGGCATTCCGGTTCATAATTTTCTCCACCTCTCTTCCTTTGCCTTGATCTTGGTTTCTGGAGAAATTTGAGAGCCCACTTGGTACTCTATTTGAGTTCAAATTTTTTAATTCAAAAATTGTTTTTTCAATTTTCAACCTAAAATCTTGTTTGATAATTTTCTTTTCAAAACTTGAACTCAAAAATAACTAAACAACTAGCCTAAAATTTAAGAACAAGAAAAGTCAGTTTTTACTGTTTTTTTTCTTCCTTCTATCGAGAACTATTTTTTTTCCCAATATATGCGTGACCTTGGCGTCAAGTCCATAGGCACAGAGCATCTGACTCAGAGATGCCGACAACTGAGAGACGTTTCCACGCTTCCCTCCCAACTCCTGATCCACCATCCTCTCACTCTAATCATCCAAAAAACCCCAGCCCCACCTCCTCCACGCCAATTGACAGAGGTGCAAGATTAACAAGTAGAAGAAAATAACACAAAATCAGCCAGTTGTCAAAACAAATGAACAAAGCTTTACTTCAAGCTTAATTGCTCAGTTACCATGGTAATTTTTGAAAATTAGCAACTAAATTCATCACAGGATATGAATTATATTAAATACATAAAAGTATTAGAGCTAGTTCCTAAATTATAAGTCCCCTACCATTAAAATAAAAATAATAATTAACACTATACGTATACATAAATAGTTAAATTTACGAGACTAAGTTATTAATTTTCCCCCCTTACCATTGGAGATATCCTTAATGTTTTAAGAAATGAGTATCAAAGGTGGACCATAAAATGGAAACCTAGTATATAAAAGATCATTAGATGGGTCCATCAAATATTATGCCGACGCTTAATGGGACACCACATGTCCCTTGATTTCTTGACCAAAAATACTTTGATTTGAGTCATCATGATGCTGCCAAGTAATTTCAAGTTGCTTGGTTTCTTGTAGTTGTAGGCCCCTTTCCGTAGTTGGTTATACATTTAGGTGAAAAGAGATTCTCTTCGGGTCTTTCCTATCAAAATCACCGGATCAAATGATTCGAGCATTTTAAATTTCATTCAACGGTAAAAAATTATCATAATTTTTAAAAATCAAAACAAGTGGACTGTTAAATAAAATTTGGAAGACCCGTATCACTTGATCCGATGACCTTGATGAAAGAAATTTGAAGGGGATCTCTTTCCCATTTAGATAAACCCAGTTACGGATGAGGCTCTGAATGATTTTAAGCAGCTTGTGCATGTGTGGTTTCTAAGCCCTGAAGAAGTCTTGACCATTTTTAGTGGCCACAACAATTCATGTGAATCATCTTCTCCTCGACCTTATGGTTATAAAAATTGTCGTGAATTTTAACGAAAAGCTTTCGGTACTGTTCACTTTAACGAAATACGACATTTTTACACTAAAAAGTCAATCATGGTACTATTCACTTTACCCTTTATTTTGTCATTATCGTTAAAACTCAAATTTTCAATTCATTTTTATTAGTTTTTCTAAAATTGTAGATCAATTATCGTTCGATCTTAATTCAATAAAATGTAAATAACAAAAAAAATATGTCTATATGCGTATAAATATTATTGACTAACAACTATTTAACTAATAATGCATGACTGATTGACCAATTGTTTCACATCGTGCTAAGAGTTACTTTGCTTCTAAATTTTTATACATATTCATATACATTTGTTGTGTTGATCATTTTATATATGTTCCGATTCAAATTGAAGCAAGCATTCAGTTGCACATAAAGAAAAGTGGATGTGTAAAAAACAAGAACATACATCTGTATCCCTTTCACTAATTTCCTTTGGCAGCTTAAAATATACATAAAGCATGCAAAGGTGACTGGACCACCATTTTAGGCACGACTTTCTGAATAAAATGTTCCCCTCGCAACTTTGCCTTTACTAAAATAAAACCTCCCATTTTTATTTTTCAAATATTCTTAATCTCATCTTCTCATGTTCTTTTTCATGGTCGGTCGTACGTGGCATTTTCTCATAGGCAGACACCTCAATTAACGAATCTCAACCATAGATTGCTCTCACCGTCACTGGGAATTATCCCGATGGATCTTGACCCAATAAAGAAAAAGTTACTCGAACCCCTTTAGAAAAAAGAAAACAAAATAACAGATACAGTTTGTTTACATTAGTAAGTAATAAAATTGCAAAGTAAAAATAAAAAATAATAATAATTCGTAGATTGTCTATATAAACCACGTTAACAGCACAACCTTTTCTCAAAGAAGATCAAACCAGTTTACTCTACAAAAAAACAGTCGCACGTAAAACCTTCACTGAAACCCCATATATAAATTTCAAAACCCTAACATGGCTAGGGACTACGACTATTATTCTTACTGGGACTACTTCTCCATCCCTCTCCACCTTGGCTTCTTCATTTCAATCCTCGTCTTCATCATGGGCTTTACATGGTACATAAACTACGAGTCCATGATTGAGGACTTGATGACTCAAATCAAATTCTTCCTCATGCTTGTTCCAATCATTCTGCTGCTTGTCGTCCACTGCTTATCGGGTGGGTTATCGTTTTTGGTGCCACTGCCGGAGCAGGATTCGCTTCACAGAGCCGGAGGGTCTCCGTGGGGTGTTGGACTCGTGCTTGTGTTCCTTTTGATAATGATCTCTTACCAGTCTTCTTTGCAGGAACGTTGGTTTCCCTTACTAAGTAGATGATGATGATTTTATTAGATGTATATATGCAAATGGATGTTTACGTTATATGAATTTGTAATAGTACTAAAGCTTCGGCTTTGGCTTGGGCTTGTTAATCTTTTTGGCATACACGAAACTGGGTATACCTAAATATTGCCGTTTGTTTTGAGATTACCGTATGCAACTTGGTCTTGTGATATTCTTTGGGATTTGGATCTCGGATCCAAATTGTAGGAATCCTAGATATTCTCATATTTTAACCATTCATCTGCGATAAAAAATTATTTGATTTTTTTTATTTAAACTTAAACATAAATAGTATCTGACGAAAATTAATCGTACGATGTACGATGAATGGTTAGAATATAAGAATTCCTAAGATTCCTAGATTCGGAGAAGATGCTCTTCCATATTCTTGTAGCTTCTTGCCAGGCCCATCGTCATCATGAGTTCATTATTTATGAATGCTGTTCATTAATCATTTGAGTATTTATCACATAAAATTGTTCTTTATCAATATCCTATAAATATAATTTTATAAAGAAAAACTAATAAAAAAAGAACTTAAAAACTTAGAGTTTTAACGATAAGGATAAAATAAAGGTTAAAGTAAATACTAATATGATTGATTTTTTAGTGTAAAAATATGATTTTTCGTTAAAATAAAT